CAGTGACAGAAGTGTGTAATAGCTCTGACAGAAATGTAACTTTGGGTGATCAAATTATTAAAAGGTGTGAATGATTTAGATGTTGTTGGTCTGTTGTTCAAAGCGATGGTGATATAGATGGGAATGTTAATTCAAGTTGGTTGGTTGAATTGGACGATGCTTCGAGTCTTTTGTGTGATAGAAAAGTACCGCCAAGTTGGTTGGTTGAATTGGACGAATGCTTCGAGTCTTTTGTGTGATAGAAAAGTACCGCTTAGACTGAAAGGAAAATTTTATAAGATGGTGGTGAGACCTGCAATGCTCTATGGTGTTGAATGTTGGCCTTTAAAAGAGAAGCATAATACTAAGTTAAGTGTTGTCAAGATGAGAATGATTAGGCTTTACACTTAGAGACAAAATGCGAATTGAATATATCCATGATAGGGTTGGTGTAGCTCTTGTGACGGACAAAATGAGAGAAAGTTGTCTTAGATGGTTTGATCACATTAAACGTCGACCACGATTCAGTTAGGAGAGTAGATGTTTTAGATTCGACTTATTTTAAGAAAGGCAGAGGTAGACCTAGGAAGACTTGGGCTTTTTGTATTAAAAATGATCTTTAAGTTATTAGAACTAAATGTAAATATGACACTAAATAGGACACAATGGAGAAAAATGATTCATGTAGCCGACCGCACTTAGTGGGATTAAGGCTTTGTTGTTGTGTTGTTTGAATTTCAGTTTAATGCTTATGAGAGTATGAATATTTAAGTACTTTTTACAACTGTAATGAATATTCTAATTTTCAAGTCTCAATATTCAAGAATTCTTAATTTTATTTCTAACTAATGTGCCATGCATTAGACACATCGAAATAGGAAATGTGATGGGGAACTTTTATTGTTCAATCATTGGGTGAACTCTTCAAAATTGTTAAATGATTAATAGGTGACATCAAACACTATATATCCTGTACAAAAAATTTTAAAAAAACATAATGAATACGGGTCATATCTAATTGATTAATTATCCACAACCATAGATTCTATGGGAGCCGCTTGTATGATTATCTGTTTCATAGTAATAATGGTCAGAGCTATTAAATTGTTTTTATTTAAAGCAAACTTGCAAGTCAGTGAGGCATATATTTTATGTGGAATAGAGTGGAATTTTAATTTGAACTAGAATTTGAGGTAGAGTTGCGAAGTTAGGTGAAGATAGGCCATTCAGAAGGTCACATTATATATTTATCAATGCCCATCTTAATTTATATTAGTTTGTATTTACCGTTATCATTATTAGGTTTGAGTATTATAATTAATTAAAGTGGCGAATTTCTGTGTGTTAATGGGAATTTTAGAAAATCACACCACCATTCATTAAATGCCTTTTAAATTATCATCATTGCAAAAATTTTAGTTTTTTTCTATATAAATCATGAGCTTTAAAGCCTTTTTAAGATGATAACTACTCAACAGAATGTTTACAAAAATATTAATAGTGTTTATTATGAAATTTTTTTTTTAATGCAAGCTCTATAATATTCAAATTCCACTTGAAAACTTTAATTCAAAGCATACCATTATATGAAATGGTTCAAGAATTCCTTTAAACTAAATATCTATTGGTGATAAAGTCGAAATGTTGGATTCTAGGTGAAAGAAATTTGGTGAAATAGTTTCCTTTGATGCATTCTAAATTACAAGGAGCTAATAAAAGTGTTTTGGAGCTTAGAAGATTTCAGAAAAAATGGATTTCCAAGAATGGTTAAGAACTACATTGAGGATGAAAGGATTTCACCTTATTTGAGCAGCTAATTTTATAAAATGCTTGATGGGATATTAAACTCAAGTTCTGAGGGCTATGCTTATGCTTTTAAAAACTAAGAATGTTAGAAATAAGAATCTAGAGTTATTTAGAGTGATTCTATGGAGGTTTTGGCTTGAAGTGTGGAAAAGGTCAGTTGGATGAGTTTGAATACGTGTTAAGTGGTTGGTTATTTAATGATTACTTACATGGGAAGTAAAGTTTGAGCACATTACCATATTTCAGGTTCATATGACTAAGGGTTACATTGACTGCAAACAGCTGCAGTAGTGCAGAAGGGGGGCAAACACTTGAGTTTTATCACTATTTAATCCCACTAGTCATGAAAAGTAAACTTTCTATACTATAATATAGCCATCAGAAGCCTTACAGGGATTCTTTGTCCAGACCATCAAAGTAAGGATGCTCCAAAGCCTTTTTCCAGAAATTCTCTTTGATGGCTCATACATCAACATTTTCGAAAGCAGATAAATATGATGAGATATAAATTTGATGAAATATTTTAGTGAAAATAGTATATTTGGAGATTTACTATACTATCTTCCTCAAGAAAAGCTTGGTGGCTAATGCTCCAATCAAATATTACTCCAATCAAGAGAAATAAGTATTAAATCTATTACTCCAATCAATCAAATATTGATTCATTTGGGCCCATATAAGGGGCTAGTCTCCATGGCTTTCTTAAGGAGCAAGATACTACTTCTCCATATAATTTACAATAAAATTAAAATGTTGACTTCAAAACCGTTGACCATTTGCTAAATGCTAATTGGATTACGAAAGGGAGCTTAAGGAATTAGTTAGGTAAGTCAGGCGATAAGTGATTTGGCATTGCTTGACTTTCGCCTTGGATAAGAAGTTCATTTCACATGGTAATTTATCCTTTTCAAAATTCCTATTACTTCAACATGGCTTAATAAAGTTATATTCTTCAAATATAAATTGAAATAGCAATTAAAGTTATTATAAATTTATTAGCTTAATCTTATAATAAAAGAATAGTTATTATTTACATAGCACTTTGGTGCTTTAATACTGTGCGTGAAAATATGCATTTCACTTTTAAGAAGTGGTAACAATGATATTTTATCATGCGACATTAAAGATTGAAGTGGTATGTGTTTAATATGAAAGTTTACATGTGTGATACATAAATACATAAGAATTGTGTGTTATGTATGTAAATGCAACGCCCACACACCCACAAAAAAAAAAAAAGACGAGTTGAAGCTATCTTCGGCAAAACAAAACAAAGAAAAATTTATTCCAAATTAAGGAGAGGAGAGACATGAGAATAATAAGTGGTCTATGCCCTACTACTACTATTCTTCTCTTAAAGTTGTGATAGTCAAACTTTTATTTACTTATGTGTTGTACTCAAAAGCATTAAGATTGGTCACCATACCATTTTCACTTATATATTACATTTATTTGCATCCACAGATTGCATGTTCTCCACCTTTTAATTTCAAAACAAGGATGAGAACCGTATACTTTGGCTTCGGATCATGCATGTGCCTTGAAACATTATTTGCATAACGCGAGAATAAATCTTCTAAAATATCAGTTCCAAAATAAGATGTAACTAGAGGTCCTACCACTGCTCTTATGTAGTTTGCAACATTTCTACCACTCGACTTTTTGTCTTCTACAAAATTTTCATTTGACTCATCAAAAGGATCCCAATTCGATTCGAAAGTTTGCACTTGTGTAAGGTCAAATGATCCTTCCATATTGATAATAGATCTCACTTCTTCCATTAATGGTGCATAGAACGGTAAATTAAAGTCTTTTAGTTTATCCTCTTCCACCAGTCCCTACATTCAATAAATAACATTATAAGGAAGTTTTTTGTGTAATAAGATCAATTCTGCATAATGGAAGAAGCAATAGTTTATATGTGAATATGCATATTTTTTGTAGCACAACTAGATGTACTATAGAACATATATATATATATATACTACATAATTCTTATCCCTTTACATGTATAACAACTAAGTTTGATATTTATTATTACAATGCTTCATTTTTAAATGCTTATGCCGAAATTGTGTATTTTACCTTTAAAATGTCAAAGATAATGGTATTTTTGATATGATGTCAATAATTTGAGCGGCATGTATATAATTATGAAAGTATAGGTAAATATGTAAGAATTGTTTGGTATTTATGGGCAAGTTGCATGCATACCATATATAGCATGTAAACAAGGTAGGCATTTTGTTCACATATTGCTTACTTTTTTTCTCAAAGGATGTGTACTCTTTGTTCTCTTCGCAACATAAAAAGATAAACAATCGTGTGATAAGTTTTTGTTAGTATTTGATACTAATAAAAGATAATTATAGCAACAAATTGTTAGTGTCCCTTGAAGACTAAGAATGCATGTATTCATATGCATGCACAAATTGAAAGAACATAGAATAATTGTCAGTTACATAAATTTATGCCAAGAGACATTTGGAACTACTTGTTTGAATGATTGAAAATAATGATTAGTAATACAATTATTAGCAATATTTTTTGGAGGAAAATAACAAATGTACAATGTAACATGTGCCAAATGTTTAACATAATTAAGTGTAACATGATTTTATAAGTTTTAACTTTTTCATAGTACTAGTAAAAATAATTAAATTGCAGCTTTTAATGGCCCTAGATGATTGACAACATATGCATTATTGTTCTGTATTTAGTTGAGAGCACATCTAACTTATCAATAAAATAAAATAATAAGAAACAACATTCAATTAAAATCTAAATTATTTTAGAATTTTGAATTGTAAAATTATGTATATATATAATCCGAGCTAAATGATGGAACTTGATGATTCAATCGATAATCTTATATGCAAATATTTTGATGGAGGACAAAGATGTAATTTCTTTTATAATTTGACATTCTTTATTAGAATCTTTAGTAATTAAGTGATTCAGAAATGACATTATATCAATCATAAATATTAATGTAAAATATACCTATCAAAATAAGCAAGCTAAAATAAGAAATAAAAAATTCAAATTATTAATCAACCAAAAAGTTAATATCAAATTTTTTGCCTATTTATAATTAAAACTATCAACCCTTCAAGATTATTCCGACCATCAAAAATCTAGTTTGGAGTCCAAATGAGTCTAAATTAGCTGGTCCACACCTTTGATTTATTAATTTTGTTTCCAATCAATGTGCTATGCATTCGAGAACGGATCATGAACTTTTGTTGAATATAAAAATTATCCCCAACTCTCCAGTTAAGATTAGTGAGATTTTCAAAGGCTAATTGGTTATTAACCATTAGGGCTTGTTTCATTGGACAATGTAAAGCTCGCTATAATTAAATCATGAGGCCATCTTTGGTAGAAATATGATTATAATATGATCTATCAATTGTAAGAACATCAAACTTCCTCAAATAAAAATTGCAGGCATTTCTATTGAAGCCTAACGTTATTACTCAAAATCAAAGTAAGAAAAGGGAAAGCTAACAGCTTGTAGGTTGTTCTGATGAATGAAGAAGTTTTAACATGAAATTTGAGAATCTGAACAATTTTTTTATGATTTATAGTTAACCAAGCAAACAACTTTTCAACTTCAAAGAAACATAATAGTATTCATATAATGATAAAATTGGTGTAAGAATAGTTAATGTTTTAAAAAATAGTTTTATTATTTTTATTATTTTGCAATTTAAAGTTATCTGTAGTTTGTGGTCGTCCGCTTATAGGCAGGCAGGCAACCGGTGTGATATGTGTGATATGTGGATGATTTATTTTCATAGAACAAATGAAGAGTACATAGAATTTTTAGATTAAAGGCATGCATATAAGTTTCTTTTTATGAGAACCATAAAAGGATTGCATCTATTCTCATCGGCAAATTTGTTATTTTCTATATTTTAACATGGACAAGTTATATAAATCCTTCGTAAATTTTTTATTGTTTTCTTCTTGATAAGAATAGTATTGTATTTGGAAAGAAAGTGGAGTTACAATAAAGCTAGGCTATATTTCGAAACAAATATAAAAAAAAAGTGAATTACTTGGAAATAAGCACAAAAGAAAATGTGAACAATGTGTGAAATTCCAAAAAAAAAAATAATAAAATATATATCTACCTCAGAAACCATAGTATTTAAAGCCTCAGCAAGAAGTCCCCATAAATGCAATAGTTCACCGGAAGCTTGACAATCTCTTCTTCCCAAAATAGATAAGATCATGCTCCCTCCATAAATAAGCTCCTTGGAACGAGATTTAAGGAAATCCAAGAAATCTGTTTTAAATTGTTTTAAATACAAATGGTATACGATTGAAGAGTTTTTATCGATATATATGTCTGGTCTATTCAAAAGGTCAGAGCCTTCTTCTTTGAGCCCTCTAGGTACCTAACATCATCTTATGTTAATTTACAGAAATAGAATGTAACTATTGCAAATCACATGAATGAAATTTCACTACAGGAAAGAGCACTAAAATCGACAGAAAAACTAATGACTTTTTAAATGTCAAAAAAATTGTTCTAATTACGGACGGTTTTGTGATTGTTTTTTATCTTCATTATTTGTGACAACATAACTACAATATATATACTGTCACTTATCAACGATATTTTGTTTTCCGACTTTTTTAATTATAAAGTTTTAAGGAAATATTAAATGATGGCTATAGTTTGTCGGTTAACTTCGAACTTGCCATTTGGCAGGGTCTTAATCGCACATTTTATTATTAAGCAACTGGAACGACCATCAATACTAGTGTTAATAACTCACACAATAAAAGTCTTATAGGCTGTCAAAACTAATCATATATCCCGCCCGAAATCACATCTCTCCTGGTCTTGCCCTATTAGCCTCTTATCTTTTCTACCCGAAGCCATCACATGTCCCTCTTCGCTTCTTTCAAAACCATCACTCTCATCCTCGAAACCCTCGCGATACATTCAAAATAGGTGCTAGTTAGGAATGCAACAGGGAGAGTGCGGCTTCTAGTGACCTTAAATTCCCATTTTTCTCCTCCTTCCGCTCCTCTGCTACCTAAAACGGCCGAGGAAGGTAAATTTTTATCTTCATTTTTTTTTATTCATTTTATTTTTATTTTTGTTTACTTTGAAGAATGCATTTAGGGTTTAATAACTAAGAGGTTTGCCAAATAGTTTCCTATTTCAGGCAAATTACATCAGGGACTGGCTTTAAGCACATATGTTTTTTTTTTTGCTTTACTTATGGATGCTCTTACTAGACATTTACAGGAGGATGCACCTTGGTGTATACTTATCGCCGGCGATATCCTTATTGCGGATAAGACTAAAAGAAAGAGTTTAGGAAAAACTTAAATTATGGTGGACGATATTGGAGTCTAAAGTCCGTTTGAGTAGGTCTAGAACTGAATACTTATAATATAATTTTTGTAGCAGTAGCTCTAGTGGCAAAGTTATAACCACAGGTGATTAAATCATTAAAATGGCGTGAACGTTCTAGATATCTCTGGTCTCTTATTCAGAGTGATGATGGTATAGAAGAGGGTGTGATTAATTAGTAGATTTCAAGTTGGTTGGTTGAAGTGGAAAAATGCATCCGGTAAAAATGAAAAATTTTATAAGATGGTAGTGAGACTTGCAATGTTCTATGACGCACAATGTTGACCTTTAGATTAAGGGGTTTTTCGGTTGAACGTAGGATTTAGTTTGAATGAGTTTTAATAAATCCTGTAAATTTGGAATTATCAAATCTTGAGGTACGTGCCAAATTTGGAATTGAATATAGTTTGAAAAATAATAATCGTTTGGAAATTGATTCTAAGTTTGACTCGCACATGAAACTCGAGTTGAAACAAACATGTTGAGATACAAACCAAAATTTTGGATGCCTACATCATGTTGGTTCGAAGTTGGATCGTTTAACAATTTAATATGTTAGTTCAAGATTATTAAATGACCGAGTATTGACTCTTAATTGATTAAGACGTCTCTATCTAATAGTGTATGTCATTGTAGCTACATCAACTCGTTCATAGATATAATTATTTCATGCTTTGTCCCCAAGTGAAAAGCCAATCGTGAACAGTATATGGATCACTAGCTTTACCCTTGTAGAGAAAATGTGAATGAAATATGCTTGTGAATAAGTTGATGCAGTCATGGCGACAAACAAGACTAGAGATAAAATATTGATAAATGTTTGTCAATTATCGATCCTTGGCAGCTCTAACAGCTTCAACAGGTTGTTAACATTCTAATTTCGAGCTTGCTATTATCGGCTCTAAAAAATCATAACCAAAATTAAGATCAGTCAATTTTCAAGTGATAATTGTTGTTTTGTGTTAAGAAAAAGTAATTCTTATGGTTTATTTGGACTTTTTGACGTCTCTTTCTAATTTGTTTGCAATAGTAGCTATTTCAATCTCATCACTGACACATTTGTTTTGCATTTTGTTTTCAATTGTAAAGCCAATCATAAAACTCAACATTCTCAGCGCTGCATCCCCTTACGCGATTGACTGAATACTTGAAAATATGTTCTTAGAAATAAAATATTTCACAAGATGTAAGAGTTTTCACTACATCATCCAGTGCAAAGTCAATTTCCAAAGCTAGTACGGAAACTCTATTCAAAATCTATTTTGTCGGTTCCAAGATGAAAATTCACATCAAAATCTAAATTCTATTACCACAATTCTCATTTTGACAATACAAATTAGATTTTTAAGGTAAATTTTCCTTTTGAAACTGACGACTTAGATTTTGATGTGAATTTTCATTTTAACTATGGAAATTTGATTTTGAACTTGAGGATGTAGTGAAAATTCTTACATTTTATGAAATATCTCCTTCTAATGACATATTATTCATTGTGCAATCAATTGTGTATGAGGTTTGCGGCGATGAGTATGCTTAGTACTATGATTGGCTTTCTATTTGAAAAATAAAGTATGAAATAAATAAATTCATGCAAGGTTTAGTGTAATAATGATGACAAATAATATTAGATTTGAAAATTAGATCTACTACCAGCTAGATTGTTTGATATTTTAGTAATATTAGGTCCGTCGAAAAACATTATTGGTCGAACATTGATTCTCAATTGATTATGATGCCTCCCTCTAATATTGCATGCCACTGTATCTACACTAGCCTTCACACAAAAATTTTTGTCATATTGTATCGCCCAGTGAAGAGCCAATAAAAAATCTATGCATCCTCATCCTCATAATTTTTAACTAGACTTTTAAAACATCATATAAAAGTGGTATAGTAAGAGTTGGCTTTACACTTGTAGAGACAATGTGAAAAAATTATACTCATGAAAGAGTTGTTGTAGCTAGAAAGACCTATAAGATTAGAGGAAAATATGATAAATGTTCGTAAATAATTGGTCTTCGTTAGCCCTAAAGTTTTTATTTCAAAGCTATCTACAACATTCTCTCCTTTTAAAATGCATTGCTTATTGTCAGGTTTTATCACCTTTGTTACAAATCGACCAGTAGATCTTCTAAAATAATTAAATATAATATACTCAGCTGAATACATTTTATAATGTGTTCATTATTCTCATGTTTGAAGCTACACATGAATATTCGTATATCGAGATCATGGATGTACAACAGACTTCATCTGCATAGAAAATGGGTCACCCAAGAGTTATTGAATGGTGCCGAAGAATTTGTGATAGTAACTTAATTATCAGTTTACTTATCTGAGGTGAGGTGTTAGTGTCCATATTTGAAACAAAGAAATCAGGCACTCATAAAACCCGACCAAGTGAAATATGATTTATACCTTCAGGGATTTCAACGAGAGTACTGGATTTGAACTTCACATGAGGAGGTTGATCCTGTAACATTCAGCTCCGCCCCTTCGATGAGTTATGATCCTCCACCTAGATTTGACTCATGAAGATTTGAAGAAATGATCTTTGATGGAACAAGACATCATTATGCGAGTCAAGTGCATCAGGAAGAGAACAAATTCTGAGGGTCAGAAGTTTTATGATTTATTGAATGCTGCTCAAAAGCAAGAAACTGTTGTTGACAAGCTCATTAAGCGTAAAACAAAATATTCCCTTACTTATTCCAGCGAACAACAATTTGTGAGTGTCTCTAATCACTAAAATTTACGAGTGAGCATGCTTCGAATTTGAGTCGTTGTGTTTATGTGGTTGTTGGAAGAATTTTGGAATGAAAAGTCATGACTACCATATTTTAAAAAAAAAAATTGATGCCAACTGCATTTAGCTATTTGTTGAGTGAAGTCCTTGATCCATTGATTGAAATGAGTTTATTTTTCAGAGAGTTATGTGCATCTCGTTTTAAGCTTGACGGCGTACACAAGCTAGAAGCAAACATTTCTGTAAAACTTTGCAAGTTTGTGAGAATATTTCTGCTTAGTTTCTTCAACTCGATGAAGCATCTTCACATACATTTACCCCACAAGACATTAATTGGTGATCTAGTACAGTACCGCTGGATGTATCCATTTGAGAGGTAATTACATTTGGACTAGATAGTTCGTCACTCATTTATAAAGTATATTGGTAATTTATACTGAGCTACATTTATTTTTTAGATTTTTGAATAAACTGAAGGGAATTGTGAAGACTAAGACCATGCATAAGAATCAATATGTGAAGCATATTTACTGAAGAGACAGTGACACTCTACTCCTACTGTCAGGGGAGAAGAGTCTACTAAAGAGTCGTTGGGTTTGGTTCCACCATTGACCCTTTATATTTTCCAGCAGTTAGGTGAAGCATAGAGGAGGTGCACATTATGTTACCTTAATGATAAAAAATTTCGAGCAGTGACACTTTATATTCTTCTCAATTACGACGAATTATAAACCTTTATTGAGTAAAATATTTTTCATTATAATTTTTAAGTTATTTATCTGAAAAGTGTCATGATTAACTATTTCAATGATATTTCAATGCATGAACAGTTTATTCGTGGATTCAATAAATTTAGTTGAAAACGATGACACGAGCAGGGAGATTGAGAATAACTTCTCCTAGTGATTTACAATGCATGTGAACAATGCATGTGAGTTAAAATTAAAATATTCATTCCTCATGAGATACGAGACTTTTCATTAACACATGATTTCTTATATATATATATATATTCATGATTAGAGAATTGAAGTGATAGATAAGAGGTTGATAGATCTTGCTTAGGGTCTCGTGCACATCGTGAAAATTTGGCAATTTTATGATGTAAATGAGTACAGGTTTCATACGAGATTTTGGTCTGAGGGAAAAAAATATTTTAATTTCGATGTTCGCATTAAAGCAAACAACAAGTCGGACAACGAGATAAACTACTTGAGATTATGGAAGAAGTTGTTGAATTATCTTATCCAAGCTTTATTTGAGGAAGTGTATTCTTATTCAAC